TGGACTTCTTACAACACTTTCTGTTAAGAAATGAATTGAACTTCTCTTATATATTTTTTTGTTCCCTTTCATCGCTTTCTAAATTTACATAGAATATCAATTATGATTTTTCATTTCTTTTATAATTCAATTAAATTATTCTTTAAAGCCATAATAGTTTTTTATGTTTTTATTTCTCATAAATTTCTATATTCTGAATAAATATTAGTAACTGTTAATATGAATTGAAATAGTATATTTTGCTTTTCAACAGTAAATGACAGCAAGAAATATCCAAAACATAAAAAATTATGATATAGAACATAGTGTTAATAATGTTATGAAATATTATTTAAACTAACTTTTAAATAAAAGAATGAAATTAAAAAGGAAGAGGGACGTTATAGAAAGAAGAGAGTTCCTTCATTTCATTAATAGTGACTAAAGGTAAATTATCACCGAAAGATTTTCTGAGTTGTTCAGTTTCATATTCTTTTTCACCAGCTGTATAAATACGATCATGGGTAGGTAGTTTTGCGGAGTTTCTAAGAGTACGATTTATGTCACCGACGTTTTTCTTAAAGTCATTTAAGTCTCTGAAGGCTTCTACATTAATTGCAATAAAGAAATGACCCAATGAAAACTTGCCAGATTTTTCTTTTTCATCTTCGATGTGATTTAAGAAGTTTGCAATACTTAAACAACTGCTCATAATTTCTACGAATTCCGATAAACAATAACCTTTATGACTTCCACTAACTTCATCAGAACCTCCTAATGGATGAAGATAAGCCTTTCCTTTAGGATAGTTTTCAAGGAATTCTAAAGGTTGATCAATTGGTTTTCCACCTTTCATTGATGCCCAACTTTTATCAACAGTTTTTCCCATTCTAAGATATTTTTCAAATCTTCCTGTTGGTGATATAGATGTTGCACCATCAAAACAATATGGAAAAGGTTCATCTGATGGTATTCCGATTGCAAGTGGATTTGTTCCAAGAATTGGTTCATCTCCAAATGTTGCTGCAACTGATGATCTTGCATTTGTTCCACATATTCCAATACATCCTTCTTGTGCTGCTAATAATGAATAATATCCTGCAATTCCAAAATGTGTTGAATTTTTTACTACT